ACGAAGTTCCCTACTTCGTTTTATTACATCTCTGCGTGTGGATTTTAACCTCGTTTTTCAAAGCTGCTTGTTACTGCGTAACCTTCTTCCATCTCTGTTTTTTTTTTGTGATGGGTTAGCAACTTTTTGTTATCTTTTGTTGCCGCTTTTGGTAGTAGTGTTGCTGGCGCTGGGACTGATGCTGTTGCTGCTCTCGAGTCGCAAAAGTTGTTGACAGGCATCTCGACGCAGCTCAGCTTGAAATAGTTTGCATGAAATTAAAATAATCTCCAAGATTTATTGCTCTAGAAAGCGCAATTGACTCGACTCGGCTGTGCCACCGAGTGTCTATTTTTGGGCCATTGTTGTTAAAGGCCTTTCTTTAAGCTCGGCAGCCGAAAATTTAAGGAAATTGCCGGTCCTTGGCGGAGCGGCGTTTACATATTTCCAGCTGTTTTTATCGAGGGCGGGCTATTCAGAAAACGTAGCAAATTGGCCCAAGTGCCTTTAGCTTTGTTTAATGGTCGAAAGTACATATTTGCGTTTACTTTGCCCTCCCCCTTTGGATCCCGTTGCCACTCTATTTGAGCGCATTCCTTCCTTTTCGCTTTGGGCATTTCTCAAGACGTTGTCAGCTCTCGAGCCCCGGACGAGTAATAGTGAGTGGTAAATGCAGCTGCCACTTTGGGGCAACTTGTTGTTGACTTGTTGCCATTCTGACCATTCGGAAGGAAAAGCGGAAATGAAGTTGGCAATGCGGAAATGCCATTTTTCATGATTTCTCCCTCCACACACTGCCACATACCAATACTATATAGACTTTTACTTGGCTTCCTCTTTGTTTTTTCTGCAACTAGTCCGCCTTTGGTCCGGCGGGGGTTTGCTTTTGACAAATTGTTTGGCGTTTCTGGGCTAATATTAACAGTGTATATCCATCAGTGGGGACTGACTGCATCTGGGGATAGATTCAACAGTCTGGAAATTGTCTTCGGACAAGAACACAAGTGGCTAGGAAAGAAGGTGGTTCATGTACGGGTTATCGATTTGCGAGGTATTGTGTACACTTATTACACTTATCATCTAGCATTAGGGAACCTATTCAATTTACAGCAAATATTGATGCTGTGCCAGACTATTTTAATGTCCCTAGCTGAAAGTTCAACGTCTGGCAGCCAGGATTCCGCCTGCTCAAGCATCGATCATAAATGATGGAGTGCGGCAATCAAGATAAATGGTCCCGCCGAGTGCCATCAAGGGCCAGGGCCGAGAGGGGCCCAGAATTCACGACTCGACGGCCATTTATTGTGGACCTGATGACATCACGGCGTATGCGCAATGTGCCTCAAGAGCAGTTTAAAACGGTGAAAACAAAAAATCAAGCAAACTATTTACAAATTGTTGTGACCCTTCGAAGGAGCTCATAAATTGAATGGCTGACAGGACGTCGCCCAGGATGTGGACGGGACATGAAGCCATTATCGCGCGTGGAACGGGAGCATAGAAACCGTTTAGAGCGCAGTTCCCGGACGAAGGGCGGGCCAAATATTCGGTGTATTTGTGGGTGCGGCCGCCTCCGATTTTATGGCCTCCAACATTTTTTACGAGCACTTATTTCCGCCCCAGAAATTAGACAACTGCTTGGACCGTTTATGCCCGAAAGGGTGTTGCCATCAAGAATGCTTCCCAATAAGTAGAAGTCCCAATAAGTCTTTTCCCGCTTCCCTCGGCTGCTCTATCTCTGGGAATTTATGATGTGTGTAACAATCGGGCCATTGTTAAGGTCGCCCCTGGCCATTCACTCGAGTATGTCATGCAAATTCTGGTTATTTTATTTAATGCGATTTTTACGAGTGCCGGAGGAAGGGCCTAATTTTCCCCTGGCTCTGTGAGTGGCTCAATTCCTAACTCCAGGATAAATAATAATTTCTATCCCCATCGGGTCCTTTTCCTAGGGTCCTCACCAACAACTCTCTACGCAGTCATTGATGCTTAAAATTTAACTTTCCGACATTTGTCATGTTTTGTTTGTCTGCTTTCGGTTTGGTTTTCCCGCCGGCGGAATTTATGCATGAGGAAGCCAGAAGGCTGCGGGATGGTTAGAGGACGTACGTGCAGGCTGGCTGCTTTTAAGCCTAAAAGTATGCATAACTAAAAAGAGCACGTTCCGGAGATAACAAAACAACAAACGGAAAGAAAGCTGCAAAAACAGGCAAGAAAAACAAGCCATTGATAACTGTATCTAAGTATCTGAGTATCTGTGTATCTGCCAGCTCGGGTCCATCCGATTGTGTCTGATTGTGCGTGCGTGTGGGTTAGCAGATATGTTTGTTATTTAGCCAAATGATTTTTCGTTCCGTTTGGCATCGTTCCGGGCCAGCTGCCAATGAAGCGGAAAATGCACGCCGAAGCCGAAACGGGGCGCAGCTGTGACAAAATCGTTGCCATTTAAATAGGTCACAAGGTCGCCGCATAAAAGCAAAAACGCTCAAAGCCAAAGGATAACAAAGACCAAATGAAATCTGTGTGCTCCGCTCTAATGCAAAGAGGAATCCAGGGAAACCGCACACAATGGTCGGTGGCGGAGCAAAAATACATCAACTCCGCCATCGAGGAAAGTGAAAAAGCAAACAAATGCAGTCAGAGCATCGCAGTCAGAAAACATCAAGGTACAAATATCTGCAAACAGCACAAATGCAAACGAAAGCCATTGCGAAGCGCTAAAAATGACAAACAAATATTAAAGCAGAGTGGAACAAAAGCCAGTATCATGGCAAGAAAAATCCCAGGCATCAAAGCAAGATGGAAATAAATTAAATAAGAGGCAACAGCAAGGGAAGAGGACTCTGAAAAACAAATATCAATGAAAGAAAGGTGCTTTCTTGGGGGTTAAACATGCCTCTCAGCTTCAACTTTAGAGTTTATTTTATTCTTTCGTAGGAAAAGTATAGTTTATTGGTGGAGATTTGAACAGAATCTATCCACAAATCTTTAACGGTATTCCTCTCATGAATATGGACAAAAATTCTGTGGGCTGCATAGAGAGTTTCTATACTTCTATACTTTCCCTATTTTTAAACGAGTTCCATGGAGAAATTGACCAAAAAACATTTAAAATATATTTTCTTCAAGGTTTTGATGCAGATTGGTGGAGAATCGATCTACAAATCATTAAGGACGTACTGTTTATAATTATTATGAAAATGACAGAAGATATACATAGACAACGCTGTGAAAAATGTGGGTCCTTTCCCCATTTCTCAAGGTAGTCCCTATTTAATATTGAAATACATTGAAATTCAGAAAAGAACCGAAATGGAAGTCTAGCTATTTCGAAAGCCATTTTTCACCGGAAACACCGTACAGCACACTAGTACCCCTAACACTGATGTATTTATTTATTTCCTCTCTTGTTTTTGTTCGTGCTGGCGTGTAAAAAACAAATAAGGCAACTTCAATTAAAAACAATAAATAAAAGTCCCAAAAAGTTGGCATCAGCAAAAGTCGAAGCACAGAATGAAAACGAACATGAAACCGTAACCGAAACGAAATTGAAACGAAAAACAAATCATCTCATGGCTCTGGCATTTAACAATAGTTTATGGCTTTTCTCTAAACAAGATCCCAAGCAGCGGACTGCATTTGTTTCTGCGAGTACCAAACCGCAAGCTGTTGCCGCAGAATGGGCCGACAAAATGTGTAGGCCTCCTGGAAGGCCCGAAACCTTGCCACAACTTTTTCCTCCACCCTTCCCAGCATTTGCCCAACATGAATATCAATATTCGCAAGCTCCTGTTACTGAAGCAACTGTTGTAATTTACATATATCTCCTAGCCCTTCGCTCCCAGTCTTCAGCTGTTGGCCCCGCCAATGCCTTGCGCTGTCCAAACAAACATGGAAACTTTTTAATTTTCGTTTTCATGGCCAACAGCCTCCTCTGCCTCTGCGCGTTGATTGCACATCATTTTCAATGTGCCGCCATGAAAAGTATGCTAGCGAGTCTATTTTTTCGCCGTTTCCATTTACCACGGCTTATGTACGGCTTAGCGATGTATTAAACAATTGAAAAGCATTTTCCGGCCCAGGCAGGGCCGATCCGGACCGAGCGACGCAACAGAGAAAATTTCAAAATCAACGCTCAACGAGGGGGAAACGTGGACAAAAATTGATTGCCATTTCAGGGGCAATTTTTAATGAAGAGCAAATAACAATGACGCCAAGGCTTTGCCATAGAAATGTGTCACAATTGAAAAAGAGCACACAACAAATCCGATTTGGAAAGTGAAATTTCAGAAAAGTATTATGATGCTTTTTAAAGAAATATTGGCTTTGAAAATTGGCACACAACTGACCACCAAGTTAAGCCAATTTTTAGTGAAATTTGTATCCGAAAAGAAAGCCCTTTTTGTATCCTCCTTTTGTGTTGAATAATCCTCTAAAATCACTTCAGTCTAAATGCTTTTATGTTCTTGGTCCTAGCCCCGTCAACAATCCGCACCTATGTCAAATATTTTTCCAACCAGCTTAGCCATTCAAAGTCGGGAGGCCGGCTGACGTAAAATGTTTTTGATGTCCGCCACGCCGAATGTGGCAAATGCCTGGTCAACATGCCGCATAAATGAAATGCCCCAAATGCACTCGACTAAACACACTCTCCCACACCACTCCACTCCACTGCCAGTACACACCGCCACACACAAATTCGTTGGCCAATATTTGTTGAACGAATTCGTTTTTGGTTTCGGGGAATTCGAGGCAAATTTATTTGCTGCCATTTTCGGTCGCCCTCAAGAACACAACATTTTACAGCCAAATGCTATACTATTTTATGCGTTTTCCGATCTTGATGTGATAAAAGTTTGTTGCTTTGCATAAGCAGCCAGTTTGAAAAAGATACATAATTGAAACTTTTCTGGCCTTGCAAAGTGGCAAGGGGACTGGCAGTTTAAATTTGAAAATATCCTTCTTAAATTTGACTTAATTTGGCTATAGAAGAGGTATGTCTCTTTTTTTTCTTCACTTACCTGAATTGGGTCCATTGCTGTTGGGTCGGGCCGAGGGAGCTCCGTCCCGGGCCTCCACCTCGAGGGCATAGGCGCCCTTCTTCTCTCTGTCGAACACGGTTTTGGTGAAAATTTCTCCACTCTGCAGGTTGATTTCGAAAAACTCCTTGCCTTCGTTCCGCGGCGAGTCGACAATGTAGTAGTAGACCTAAAAGTCGACACACAAGACACTCTGGTTTATTTCTGTTTGGTTTTCTGGTTAATTAAAACATGGTCCTGACGCCCGATGCCAACACCCGGCCAGGCACACACATAACTTCAAACGGAGACAAAGTAAAAATGGAGCTCGAGCGTGAGGAAAGTGAGAAATTTAATTACTGCTTCGGACATTAAAGCGGAACGATAATGATAATCAAATCCTGAGACCTTTCAGGGGCGCAGGCGGGTCTGTGGCTGGGACTATAAATGAAAACGCTAATTAGTGCGGACATTTCGCGCGTACATGCAAATTACTTGGCTTGAGGACACAAATTGTGGCTGGCTCACTGGCTGAAAGAAAAAAGAGACTGGCCAGCGCCAAAGTGCCATATTATTATAATCGCGGTGCGGTTGGAGGGGCCCGTCTGAACGACCCAACACAGCCGATCCCATTCCATCCTAAGCTTTCCCCTTTTCATCACAAAAGACATCGCCTGCGGTTCTGGGTTCTGGGCTCTGCATTTTGCATTAGGTCGCCGCCCTGCCCCGCGCTTTGGACTTTCACCAAGGGCTTAGCACACACTTGGAAGGCGTGCAAAAATGTTAACTCTTTGACATTTATTAGCCAGCTGCCAGCTGATGGCCAAATGGACGAAGGACGTGGCCAGCGAGCAGAAAAAAACAATTACGGGGCGTGAAAGGGTCGCAGAAAGCGGAATGAGATAGGTAGCTGGCCAAGAAGGGGAGATGGCTATGATGATAGCAATTTAAGAGGTTTAAGAAGGAATTTCAGGGATATCTTAGAATTTAAATAAAGGTTAGGTTTCAGTATTGAATGACTATTATTACAAGCTTTAAAAGTCAACCGAATGCCTTTTAAATATGCTTTGGTTTTCGTCCCATCTCGCCAGCTGTCAGTCACCTTTTTCAGGCTCGTTTTCTTTCGATTTGCAACTCTTCATTGTCAGCGCCATTAATTTGCTACCAATCGTCTGGCATTTCCGGCCAAAGCCGTCACTCCCCGTCTCGTCCCAAGCCCCCAGCTCTCAATTTAACTCCATTTTCCAGGACGCAGCAGGAATGGTACTCACCTGATTATTTGGGAATGTGCCATCCTTGTCGATGGCGTTCACTTGTGTCACTTTTGTGCCAATTGGTTCGCCCTCGAGGACCGTTTCCTGTTCGCGTTCGGTGAATAACGGTATTTCATCATTAACATCCTCGAGCATTATGTAAACGGTCGCTTCCGATGCCAATTGTTGGGCCCCGTTGTTCTATAAAGTGAAACGAAACGAGAGAAGGGGAAAAACCAATTTAAAAGGGTTCAGTACAGTACACAGTGAAAAAAAATGGTAATAATTATTATAAATAATTGATTACATTTTTAATTTAATAAATATTTTAAACATGTATTTCTATTAATCCTATCCCCATTCCCAGTCTCTTTGGATCTAATTTGCAATCAATTTTCCAGTGTACTGGCTCTGCCTTTTTTCAATTTGTTTAATAACTTTTTGCGCGGCAAATTGTTTGTTTTTTAATTAAGCTATAAAAAGTGTGTGTTTAATGAGTTCTCTTCCTGCCTATCCAGTCCTGGCAAAATATTTGTATATTACTTTTCAATAAAAGTTAAACGTAGCCCGTGTTGATTAAAAAAATTCTTTAGAGTAAAAAGCAAAAAGCCCTTTAATTTTTTACCAATATGCCGCTGGTGATTGCCTATTTTCCCTTTCATATGATTGATTAAACAATTGCCATCAATCAATAAAACAAATCTCATTGGCAACTTGTCATTCATTAGTTGTTTTATTGGCAGGCATTGAGTTGTGGCAGCCTGCTGGTGCGTCTAGTTTATATTCCCGCCCCAATAGGTTTATTTGCACAAAGTTTGGCATTTATATTTCGGCATTAATCAATGCATATGATATCGATACACTGTTTACACTAACAGGGCCATAACAAGGCCACATATGGAGAACTATTTATTCTGAGCTCATTCCACATTCCTCCGCAAATGAATCGGTTTTGGCGCCTAATTAGACTTGGAAGTGGCCTAGAAGTTTTGGCTCAACAACATTGGACTCCTAATGCATTAAAGCTGAATATTTCATTTTCCCAATTTGGTTTTAACCATCCACCCACCGCAAGCAAACTGATATATATTTGACATATTTCGCAACCACAAAAATAAGGAAAGGCGTAGATTAAAAATTAATCCAAATAAATTGTCAAACTAAAACGCGAGTGTTTAAACTTTTATGGCCAACGTAAACCGCAAACTATTTTCCAAACTCATTTGTAAATTTTTCCTTTGCCACGCCCCCTTCCGCCAAGACGCCCGTCAAAGGACATGGACCCGTTGGGATCCATTAACTTTTAGCGGGTCATTTGCACGAAATGAAAATGAAACCCTGTGATATTTAATTACCTAAACATTGAATACGAAATGCGGGAATCTCTTGCGCAATTGAATTTTTATAACATTTTATTACGGGACGAGCGAGCGAGTGTGTCGCGGATCGCGGTGTACTGCGGTTAGCCCGGAATTCGCATTAATATTTCAGATGGCGGTTTATTTTGTCTGGCGTACACGATTTGTCCTTCGCAGGAGCGCTGAATGGCCAAACTAATGAGGCTACCAGTGCAGCGGAATGCTAAAACTTGACATTGATTGGGAATGCAATTGATTACCGTTCCGCCACCAGCTGTCTATCAGCCGTTTGTCAGTCAGTCAGTCAGTCAGTCTGCCAGGCAGTCGCTCAATCAGTCAGTTTCTAATGAATTCGAAGCGAACCGGAGCCGCATTTGCATTTCCCGACTCTTGGTGGGTGGGCGGTGGACCCCGACCCGCGCAAGTAATTAAAACTTTTCAAATCAAATAATTACGAACGTATTTTGAAGTCATTCCCAAATACAAAAGTCAAATACATGTCTCGGGCCCAGCGCCTAATTGAGCCTAAGAAAACTTTTGGCTACTGCCTGGGATTGTAGAAGACGTTTTGAAACTTTAAATTGAATTCGTTTTCGGTTTCTGGGCTGTAGGTCTGGTTCTCCAGATAGACTTACCTCGACACGTATGGTTAGATTGTACTCCTTGATGCTCTCGTAGTCCAGCGGATGATTCACCTTTATGTCGGCCCAGGTATCGCCGTTGTCCGGTCTTTGTTGCAAGTAGAAGGTGTGGAACTTGTTCGTCTGCGCTGTCGACCCGGGCATCAGTCGGTAGAACACTGTGGGGTTCCCTTCGATACCCGAACTGCAGACGTCGGGGCCAAAGGTCAATTGAGAAACAATATTAGTAAGGGAGCGGGACAGTGGCGAAGGATGGTGTTTAGTCAAGTACGGGCTACATGAAATAATGAGTTGTCTACAAAATAAGGTCTTACATTATCTTCAAAAATCAATTGCTTAAATTTAAAAAAACGAAGCGAAAGTAACGTGCTCTGGTCCTGACTTCGCAGGACACCCACACAGACAGACGCTCAGAAAAAAAATAGCATGCGACATGACAAAATACAAAACATGACGCACAATTGGAACTCTTAGGATTAGTGCAGTCAAAAATGGGATTGTGCGCTTTAAAATTCCTTAAAGCGTCCTTGTGCGATTAAAAAACTGAGAACCCAAAAAAAAGGAAACTGAGGCAAACCAACTGAACATAAATGGCTTCAAAAAATCTAATTGCCATTTGAGTGTGTTGGGAAGTGGGTTCGGCACACGATAATGAAAAAGAAATTAGGCGCAAAAAGATGAATACATATACCTAGGGTATATACGATTCATGCCAGCCCAGACAACACTTGCAGCTGACAGAGGATGGCGGCGAAAAAAAGCCCTAAGAACGGGTCTTAAGAATAAATGAAAACTGTCAGACTGCGCCAAAATGTTGTCCTTGGCGGGCAAAAAAATTATTGTTGCAAACAAAAAGGAAAACCGGAATGGCTTGCGGAATGGTTGGGGGGGAAAAGTTGTGACAGGGTGGATTGGTGGGGAGAGTATGGGTAGGAGATTCGTGGATTGCATGAAATTTTCTTGGAGGTTTCGTTTCGTTTTATTTTGTTTGGTTTGTAGTTGTTCTGTGATTGAATTCAGTGTGGGTGGGCTGGTTCGAATTTGGTTTCATTTAGTGTGTTGGAAACTATAAGGTGTCGGAAAATGATTAGTTACTCATTAGTGTCTGTACACTGAGAACATGTTTGCTTTGAAGGTTGTGTTGCAGTTTGCTTAAAGCCTAAACTAAAGATTACATACTAGTGGCTAGATGGTTGAAATAAAATGGAACAAATCATACAACAACCGGTAAGCTTATCGGCACTTCTGCCCCAGATATCTCTGGGAACTCTTTTACATTTTTGTGGCCTCGACCTTGCCAAGTGTTTGCGCGCCTCAAGAGCAAACACAATCATTATGATATACACGGCGTTCTCGAGAGTCCTTAAACCCCTTCCTCGCTAAAACACTTAAACCCTCTCCGGCGTCTAATGGCGTCTAATGTATATGTACATATTGTTAACAAATTTCTGTGCTGGGACATGACCAGATAATTGCGAAGAGAAGAAAGGAACAAACCGAAGGAGAACTGAAACTCGGGGCGAAATGCTTTTATTTTAAATAATTTAAAAACATAAAAAACAGGGCGAGAACAAAACTCAAGAAACAGAACGGAAAGCAGAACCCAAGCACGTTTAATAGATTGTAATTTCCGTAATATTGCACGAGGGAGCGGAAGAAGGTGTACTTAAGGACCGAGGGACACTAAACTAACTTACTACGGCAGATTCTAGATTCCAGATTCGGATTAAAACCCGGGCCAGGGCTCGGGCTCAGGCTCAGGCTCAGGCTCGGGTGAGTGCAGGTGCGTATGTGCAGCGTTTAACTATTTACGTTTTGTTTTTTATTTTATTTTTTACTTGGCCTTTAGGTTTAAGTGCATTTGCTTTTAGTGCGGCATGAGAAAAAGTGCATGGCAAAAATACAGAACGGGATAATATAAAAACTGACTTGGACTGACGCATAATTAAAACGCCAGTGCCATGTGGCTGGTTTGCCACGAAGATAAAACGCAGCCCGGGGAGATCCAAGGCAAAAACCGAGATGGGGCGGGTCAAAAGTCATTTAAGTGCTCTGCTTCAAGTTTTTTAATTGCAATTATAAAAAACAAAACTTTGTTTAAAATAAACTTTCCATTTTTTTCTCGCAATCTCTCCCGGCGCTCGCATAGCAGCAGAAGCGGATTTATGTATAAATTTTGTTTTAGCCACTGGCTGACACTAAGTGGCAGGTAATTGAAACTGACCCGGCTCATCATGCGAAAGGTCGACGGTGAGCCTGCTTATGTGCCATCGCAGGTTTATGCAGCAAAAGGATGCAGAGGCTATAAAATATACTCCTTCTTTCCAAAGCCGGGCTAAAATGGCTTTTCTATATGGAAACCATCAAAAACGGAATTGATTTACATAAACTCCTTTCTATGTATTTACTTTTAAAGCTTTATTTTAAACTAAAAGTCTAAAAAATATAGGTGCATTTAATATACATGTGTGGCTTGTGCAGTTTTGGCAGCAACTGGTGCAGGTGTAGTGCAGTATAGGTGATTGGGGATTCTAGGGGAACGATGATTTGGGAAGAGGAATCTAATCGTGGAACCACATAAAACATATACAGACTGGCTAAAGTATGGTTTGGGGATCCAGGGATCCCAAGAAAATGATTTCAAAGGCAGTCACAAAGAAACATCTAGACATTCAACACACAACACAGAAAGAAATGGCAAGGCACGACAACAAAACAATAAAATTTTAAGGAAAAAAAACACCTAGAATAGTATGGTAAAATATACTTAAAAGTAAGTCTTAAAACTCAACTAAGCAAAATGGAATGAAACATATTTCATTTATGTCTAATATTTGTTTTTGTTTTGGTTGGTAAAACTTTTGCACGAAAAATGAACAGACCTGGCTTTGATCGAGACGACTTTGCCGCCAACGGGCATATTTTCCTTGACATAAATGGGCCCATAAACCGTGTGATCCCAGACGGGCGGATTGTTGGCCCGATCGACCACATCGATCTGTACTTCGACAGTACGCGACAGTGGCGGATAGCCCTTGTCTTGGGCCATGGCCTCTAACTTGTATGTCTCGCGCTGTATTTTATATACATTTCACGATCAATATTGTCAAAAATCGTTATCGTTTATCGTTAATTTATACAGTTTTCATTTTTTATTTTTTTTATTTTTTAGTTCAAAATCAAGCATGTCGTTGCAAAAATGACAGACGCGTCGATACGGGTTGGTAATTACGACATTTGTTCAGGAAAAATGCAAAAAACAAAATTATATAATATAGTTGGAGTATTTTTCAACAAATTCTAGAAAAGATACAAACTTAAAATGGTAAACCAACACCTCTGTTAGAGAAGTTAAAAATAATGGGAGTAAAAACGATAACAGTCATTGAAAGGCCTTTGGCAAAAACTGTTTTCAAATGCAGTGCAAATTATTTTATAGTCTCGACCCTAGCCTTGGAAAAATAAACATCTCATATGCTAGGATTAATATTTGTAGCATTAACTTAAGAATCACAAATGCTTCAACTAATAAATAATTTCAAAATAAAACTGGGCTTTGTGCATTTTATAAATACAATTTTCATAGCATACTTTACAGAGTCTGCTGCGCTTATGATTATTATTTCGATTTCGACTATTGCTTTTTAACATTTTTGAACACAGAGTGTAGTTACCTTGTTTCTAGAGCTTACAACTAAACTGCAACCTTGTATGGAGGACTATAGTTAATGCGATACATCATGTTTAAGTAGCTTATTCACCAAATGAAAACCAACACCAAAATTTCATTACGATCCTCACAGTATTCCAGGCACTTAGTGTTGGGGGCTTGAGTTTTTGAAAGGTAAGTCACAGATCAGAGAGGGGGAACTGCAAATCCAATGGGTATTATGTGTGTGGTGGAGAGAATAAGAGAAAGTCAGTCTTTCAAGTCTCAGCAAAAAGCAAAATACACCGAGGACATCCGTTGAAAAAATGCGAAAATATTTGCTTCAAAAAGTTACCAAATTTCGATTCCATTTCGATTAAGATAGGATTTTGAATCACAGATTCCGATTTAGAAATTCAATTTTGATTGCCGAATTTCGTTGAAAGGAAACTTGGGAGAGCTTTTACGATATGCCACCAAAAAGGACCTTTCACATCGCAAAGCTCCCGCCGCATTAACAGAAGGACCTTATGCTAAAAGTAGTTGGAAGCTTATGCTATGTTAGCCAATGCGTTATTTCTCAAAAAAATGTTCTAACTATGTTAGGGGCTGTTGTTAGACTCGCATTTCAAAGTTTTGTGTTAGGTGATTGATGTCTCAATGGCTATACAAACCTTGCCTTAACCGATGTTACAACCGTACCCACAGTGACGTTCTCGCGTATGTGTATCGGCCCATAAATGCTCTTATCCCAAATGGGAGGCTTATTGTTCCGATCGACGACATCTAACTCAACGTCGACATCGGCGGCCGAGGGCGGTGTGCCCTTGTCTGAGGCGCTAACCCTCAGGCGATAGCGATCGCGCTGTTGATTGATTGATTGAAGTGAAATTCGATTGAAGCATTGGAGATGGTACAGTTTTCAGTTATCAGTTATCAGTTTTGGGCCAAAGTGTTAGCGTTAACAGCGTTAGAACGGTACGGGGAGTTAACATGGCAGGGAGTCGAGGTAGTCGAGGCCCGAACCCAAAGTGTTAGCATGTTACGTTACGTTACGTATTAAGGTTTGTGTATTGGGCATCGTTGACGTAGTATATATGATTTTGTCAAATCGAGTTTAATTACAATATATGAAACATAAAAAATGAAATATTTAAAAAATTAGGCAGAACATGGAAGTAGGGAGGGGGATTAGTACAGGTTACAGCGGTTATTATGGGGTTTGGGGAAGGGCGGTTCGCATAAAGGTTGGAGAATTATGGGTTTTCTTTTGACGAGACTATTTCTTGCTCTATTGAGTGGCCCTATGATGAAGTGAAGTACTCTTTCACGACACTATGTACAACAATGAAGAACAGGACCTGTTCCTTGAGTTAGTTGCGTTTGAGGTTAGCTTACAGTTGAAATTGCGACTTTTAGGGGTTAGCACAGTAACAAAGTTAACGCAGAAGTGCATTTACTTACTGGATAACACCCCTACATCGTTGTTCATACATTTGATAGAACCGTAATTTGTATATGTAATGATAAATCGAAAATGAAAATAGAAAACATTAAAATGCCTAGGAAAGTCTGGTATCTCACACAGGAAATAAGGTAAACAAATCAGTAAAGGTGCAGTTAAATCAAAATCTTCAAGTAATCTCTCTCAATATTCACCGAGTACTCGGGCCCCATTCACCATGGGCATGCAAAAATGATAGTTTCTCAAAATATATAGTTTTAGTTACAAAAACATAAACTCAGCTACGGCAAAAATATGTTAGGCTTTCAGCAAGAGACGTTCAAAAATTGCATAGTCTCGACAAAAAGTTTTTTTTTTTCAGTTTTCGGGGATTTTCTGGGGATAGTATTTCTCATGGGAAGGAAATAAAAATGTGGTATCTCTACAAAATTAAACTACTTATTAAATAAAGAGTATATTTAAATTTAAATTCTTTAAAAATTGATTGGCAACGATGCTCAAAAATATGGGTGATCGTTTGGGGTCTGGGCCCTGGGGGGTTTCCATATAATTTTCTTAAACCTACGAGCCTATCACCAAAAAAATAAGCAGCTTCGGTTATAAGCGTTCAATCCGAACCCCTGGTACTCAGGGTTCGACTTTCTTAGTTAGTGTTAGTTGGATTTGTTTCAAAAAATGTTAAAAATCAATTCGCTCTCTTGGCATTCAATGCTCGTGTTCAGGTTTTCATTTCATAGCCAATGTACGCACTATAAACTAAACAAAAGAATCGTTCAAATCAACTTAAATTATTCGGCATTCGGTATACGCTGAATGCCGATTCCGCTCTGTGTGGCAAAAAAACTTGCACTGCTTGCACTTCAAATTGGACTCCACCTACGACTGTTTTGCGGTCTTGAAAGTACTTTCAATAAAGAACAAAAGAAAGGTGCAGTTTGAAAAGAAACCGAAAAACTCAAACATAAGATAGATTACGAGTCAAGCCGCTTAAGGTCTCTAAGCTCAGTAGATGCTAGGCATCCGCCATTGGTTAGTAAAAAAAAAGATTTTCCTTTCGATAAACAAAAAAGTTTAATTGAAAGTAACAGACTTGGTTAGTAGGGTTTAGGCAAACTTAAAATCGGGAGAGTTTCGAAACAAAATGAGTTCTATTGGAGCGATCGGAAAGCAAACACTTACGTCAAGGGGCTTCTTGAGGACAATCCAACCGGACTCGGACTGGATTTCAAAGTACTCCAGGTCGTTGGGGTTGAACGGGGCCGTCAAGCTGTAGACTATGGCTCCGTTATTGTCGGCATCTTCGTCGGAGGCGGAAACACGCAGTATATTTGTGCCAATGCTGGCATCTTGCTTTACATTCTCGACGTATTTCTAAAGAATAATGGTAAAAGTTAAAGAATTTATTTCCATTTAAAATATGGAAATACTCACCTGTCGATCGAATAAAGGTGGATTATCGTTCACGTCCGTAATTTCCACAGTGAAGGAACAGACTCCCTCCAGGCTGGGATCGCCCTGATCCGTAGCCTTTACTGTCACAGACACAAACTTGCCGTCGTCGCCCTCACGATCGAAGACCTTGTTGGTCGACACCTCGCCGGTCTCCTCGTCCACGGTGAATTTGGTGCCCTTTTGGTTGGGTTGCTGCACAATCGAGTACTTCACCTGTGGGCCAGAACATGCAAAATTGGCTTAGTGATTGACACAAATTGCGATTAGAGCCGTTGAGGCGTTTGACCTCGGCACACGACATGCACTCTGCAGTGCATTGAACTTGGCGACACGAAAAGAAAATTATGGCTGAATCTCGGCATGAAATCACACACACATGGGGCTAATTCAATTAGGATAACCATGTTGGGGCTGGCCTCAAAACACAAATAGTGTATAATTAATGGGGAGTGCAAGCCGAGAGGCGTGTAATTAAGGATAGGATAATCAGAACAGTCCTTGAAGAGCCATTGATGGGGCAAATTGGTAAAACAAGCATCTGAATCGGTTAATGCTCCAATTAGGCCGGTTTAGGTTTCAAGGATATAACCCATAGGTGCCTCTTACCTGTCCATTGACGCCCTTGTCCTCGTCGGTGGCCACCACTTTGATGACGGGACTTCCGTTGGGAGCCCCTTCCTCGACCTTAGGGTAGTAGGTGCTGCAGTCCTTGAACACGGGCTTGTTGTCGTTGACGTCTGTGATGAAGACCACCACCACAGCAGTCGAGGTGTGGATGGTCTGATCGCCGTTCACACAGCAGGAGCCGTCGTCCATGGCGGTGACGTTAAGCTCATACTTGTCGCGATCCAGGGATATGGCTTTGTTGTGCAACCGAATCACACCGGTTATGTCCTCGATGACGAACTGGCCCGAGGAGGTGCCGCCGCCCACGAACCCAAACCGGACATTGTCGCCGTCCTTGTCAGAGGCCACCACAGTGGTAACCAGAGTATTAGGACCGGCGTTCTCGTCCACGTTGGGGGTGTACACCTGTTGCGAGAACTTGGGCTCCTCGTCGTTCTTGTTTTTGGTGTAGACTCGAACAGTGGCTGTTCCCGACTTGGCAGGCTCGCCCTTGTCCTTGGCAGTGACCATGAACTCGTAGTAGGCATTGTTGTTGTCGGCGTCCAGTTGCTTATTGTTCACGATGATTCCATTAGAGTCCACGGCAAAGTGATCATCCGACACCAGGTATTCAATTTCGGCGTTGGAGCCCGAGTCAGCGTCCATGGCCTTGACCCGCAGGATGCTAGTTCCCAAAGGAATGTCCTCGTCGACGTTGTGGGCCTGGTAGTCGGGCAGCTCGAATTTGGGAGCATTGTCGTTGACATCCGTAACCCGAATGGTGAGCTGAGGAAGATTTTGCGAGATTAGTTTTCAGTTTTTGGTAAAAAATTGTCTTATAACTTACGTCCACAGAGGTGGAGAAGCCGCCCGAGTCCTCGGTGGCTGTCACAATCAGGGAATAGACATGGGGCTGGCGCAAATCCTCGAAGTCCAGCTCCTTGGCCAACTTCACGATGCCCGAGGTGGGTCCTATGTTGAAGGTGCCGGCTCCCTGGCCCTGGGCCTTCAGGGTGTAGCGGATCTCGCGGTCTGCAAAGGACTTGGCCTTAATCGAAATAATGCTAGAAAGAGTGGAAAAAGAAAAGTTAGAAGGAACTCTAAAGTTTCTTGCATATTTTATATCCAACCCAGGGCCAGTTCAAGCCCTGCCTTGTGTGCTTGTCAATCGCTCGACTGCCTTTTGACAGTTGCTTTCCCATTGGAATTTCAATGAAGACAAACAGACACCAGCCACACATTGCAAAGCAAACAAATATGTGGCCGTATGTGGAAGCACATACTTGGCGCAGTCTAGTTCACATTGTTATGCATAACTTTTATTAGCAACCGAATGAAATTTGCATACTCTGGGGCGGTGAGTTTCCCGGAATATGACGACTCTGAGCTTGTTGTTTCTAGCTCGAAAAAGGGCATAACTCGTATGTAACTTTATGCACGCAACGCTAGCAATGATAACACTTTCTAAAAACATCGACCGTTTGGGCATACTCACTCTGAGTCTTTCTTCTGGTTCTCTGGAATCTCGGCCTCGTAGCTGGGCATGTAGAACTGGGGGGCCCGCTTGCCGCCCACAATCGACAGCCGCTCCTCCGGGGTGCTCTGGAACCTGCGGTCGTCCACCTTTCCGTTCTGATCCTCTGCCTTGACGTAGAGGACATACTCCATGTCCAGCTGGAAGAGATCCGTGCCCCTGGTGCGCACCACGCCCGATCGTTCGTCCACCTCGAAGCGTCCGCCGGTCCGGTCGCGGACTATGAAGTAGTGGATGTTGTGGTCGGTGTCCGGGTCGCGGGCCTGCAGGGTGAACACGGGGGTGTTGGGCGGAGCGTTCAGCTGCACCACAGCCTGCATGGGCAGCGGGCGGTTGATGAAGTACGGCGGCTCATCGTTCACGTCCTTCACCAGGATTATGACGCGCTGGTTGTCCGTATACTTGATGCCAGCTGAAAGGAGAGACGAGGGCATGAGAAGTTTGTTTTCAATGTTCGGCTTGTTTGTGTTTTGCTTTTCGGTTGGTTTGCCGAAACTTTTGCCTTTTGTTATTCCAACTAATGGATAGTGGTTCGGGTATAACAATAGCATGAGAGAGAGGCCCCCTGGTTTGCAATTTAAGAGTCTCCGATTTCAGTTAAGCCATTCAAATGCAATCACCCGGAAAAGCACTCGCAGGCGATGGTCTTCTTTGAGCCAAATTGTAACTAGTTCTAGTATAGCTTCTTAATTTTAAATAATCCTTAATAATTTTGTAACATTTTCAAGAGTTAGACGAGTAATCCGCCCATTGAAGCCAGCTAGTAATTTCCACTAAACATGCACACAAATATTTTCTGTTACCAAATGGTTTACGTTGAAGAAAATCAATAATGGGCCTTGGGAAGGGAGTCCTGAGTGAAAGGTGAGTGGAGAAGTAATGCAGGGTCGCCCTGTTTCATTTCCCTTTTTTCGCTTTTGCTGGCTTTGCAAAAAATGTCTGCACCGGAAAATTCCAATCATGTTGTTGTGTGCCTCTCCCCGTGTTTGTTGTTGTTCTCTTTGTTGTTGTTGGTTGGGGCAAACAAGAAGCGCCACAGGGAGAGGCACCCCCGGCACTGACGCTTATTAGGGGCGTGTGGATGTCTGTGGGAGTCGTGTGGGTGGTGCCGGGCTGGCTGAAGTAGCAGGCAAATAAAGCAGACGATTTACCTGCCTCCCCGCGTGCCCCAAGAAATTCGAGCGCTACATAGAAGGGGCAGCTTGAAAAAAGTAAGAAAAGGATAAGCCGAATAGGGGTGAAGCATGTGTAATTTCTCAAGAGCGGCAAAGTGAATCGCAAACAGGTAGGAGTGGCTAACCCCTGGCTCGTGTAAGCAAATACTGCAATTGAAACAAAGACGCGAGTTTGCCAAAAAAAAAAGCTTAAACCGGGAGCGAAATAAGCATCTTCGCTCAACAGATTGCAAGGAAAACGCAGCGAAAAAGTTTTCGCAAAAAGAACATAATACATGCCATGTTTCGGGTCCAGGAGAGTGCTGGGCATAACTTGGCAGCGTTTCTGCTGACTTTTGCCAACTTTTGTTACTTTCCTGCCAGCTTGGCATTGTAACGCTTTTCTATGGCTTATTGTGCTTCTGCCAGCAGGTAAGAAACGACCAGAATGAAGTAAAACCATCCTATACCCATACATAACTGGAAATTTAAATAAAATGGACGGAGTTTTATTGTTGGGTGTGCGAGTGTGTGGGGAGCACTAATGTAGAGTGAAGGCAGCAGCCAACATGGCGGATTTCCGTGGCGACAAAGCCACGATGGAAATGGTAGGAAAATGGCCAGGAAAGGGGAAATGCCCTTTGTGTTCTGTCAGAGAAATTACGAATATGTGTGTGGCGGAAGATTTTCATTATGTTCGCAGCCATAGCCGTGAATATATGTGATTTGCGATTCAGTAATCCATGGAGCAGTCCCCAACTATATCCAACACAGAGCACTACAATCTATTCCCTGAAAATGTTGCAATAATCAGCCTTCATCTTCCGCGCACACTCCTTCCAATTTAATGAAAGTTCTGGCCACATATGCCTCCTTTTTTAGCGACAACCCTCAGAGCTCCTTTATTGCTTCCTCTATGCGGGTGTGAGTCGCTTTTCTCTTATCAGAAACACCATATACCGTACGTATGCACATTAAGTGCCTGTCACACGCGATGCAAACCGAGGCGGAGAGATCCTTGAGGAGCCAGAGCCATGCAGCAACCATAATACTCGTAATCACTGCCAAGGGATACCCTGCTCGCCGCACAACTCCCTCAGAGTCAAAGCCATTGTCATCATAAGCTAGCCGCCAGGGGGATGAGATTAGAGGAGTTGGAGTTCCGGGCCGGGTCGGGACGGGCGGGGTGGCAACCCACCCAGAGGTTAGCACTAAATGCAATACCCAAAAGCAGACTGGGGAGGGCTTGTGCCGGCTTTGTCTCCGTATTCCCGTTTGCACTGCACTTCAGACGGGCTGGGACAACAATGGAGAAACGAGCGAAAAATTGAGAAAAGAAATGGTAGCAAAGGCCAACAAAATAGCTAAAATACTCTGTAATTACTACTTTATATTCTCTACTACTCCATAATGGAATAATATCAATAAGGTCCCCTCCTTTAAAGAGAGAAATGCATAGTGCCCCATGAAAATAATTCAATTAGCCTCACATGTCTCACTTTGTAAGCCAATCGAGTCTCTTTTTAAAAGGGAATAAAGCGTCCAAGTGTGACTAGAGTTCAGAGTTGCTGAAAACTGCTGTAGCTGCACGTAGAGCCCTCTCTTTCTTCCTCTATAGCTCCATCTCTATCCATTTGTTGGGGAAAAAAAAAGAGTCCGAAAGAAAAAGTGCGAGACTGTCGTCGTGGATAGACAAACAAAGCTGCTTATTGTTTCAATGGATTAGGGAGAAGTGGGAGATGCTGCACTGAGAAAAAAATAGTAGGGGAGTTGAGAAGCAGCTGCTCATCACAGCTCAGACTTATACTTAGGGGATGCGGGTTCATCGTCTGTGGTGGCATCTTCGAGTGGGTGCCAGCTTGAACTTTTCCAGCTCCTCGCCCACCAAGCACCAAGCACCGCCATTTTTCTCCCTTTTTTTTTAAAGCGGAAGCTAACGAATCTCGGTGTGGGAGCACTGCGCGGATAGAAATTGAATTTGTTAGGAAAATTGACGAATGAAACTTGTGCTACGTGCTCCATTAATGTCATTTCACTCCGGATAAACACAATTTGTGAGTTTACGTTTCGAAAATAGACACTCGAGAGACCGCTCTGCAAATGAAAGTCGATTCAGCATCAAGTCAGAATCTATATGGCATAGATTTCAGAGAATAAGTTACAAGGAAACTATAATGGGGAACCGGAAACTTTAACCCGCTCCTCTTGCACAATAGACCTCTCTTCATTTCCGCAACAAATTATGGAAACATGAAAGATTCTGGTTGGTATCAGCCACCCGAAAAATGTTCTCCGTTTTTCGCCACAATTTAACGGCAACTTAACCTTTATGACTTTGCCTGGGGGAGCTCGTGACTTTGGGGGGAACCCCAACATCAGCCGCCACTCCAAGCTCCGAACAATTGACACCCCTCGGTGTTCGACATAATCAAGAGGGTCAAAATGTGGTTCGGTTCGGTTCGTGGCTCTCGGCTTGATTAAAATGCAGTGAAGTCGAAACTTTATTCTCCGGCTCGGGATCCAGGTACGCGCTCCAAATGAATTTCTTCATTTTCCGCTGCGGTTTGAATGGAAAAAGTTCCTTCGAGGGTGATGGCGAGGGCGAGTGCTTGGATTGCATAGGGGTTATGCCCCGGATAAATACGTGCAAGAAATACAAGTACAATGTTGAGCAGTTTCCGCCCCGAAATATTTTTATGGCTGCTGTAATATTTTCTCGGGCCAGGGGGAAAGAGCTCTCCTTTTTTACGGCCAAAAGACTTAATGAAGCAGTTAACAATGGATTCCGGGGCGGAACAAGAAAGTAGCAAAAACCATGGCCAAATATTGAACTTGCTTATTGATTGAAGAAGCAGCCTGGAGTTGAGGCTAATTCGGTCTGAGGTTCTGGCTCCAAGATTGCTCTGGTGCAGAGTGCCAAGTATCCGGCGAAATGAAAACAGAGGCAAGGATAATCGAATTGGAGAGCTTGGGCAATCTCAGGATCCTGTGCAATCGGTTGAAGTGAGTTATGAAAGTTTCCTTTCTCTTCTCACTTTTCGATTAATCGGCAAACAAAAACTTTAAACTAAATACTTGAGGCTAAGCTTTAAAGTCAGTTCTCGGGAAACTGGTTTGCTCCTGGGCCGAATAATGAAAACATCTGGAAGACACTAAAAATTTGTCTCCGCAAATCAGCTAGCAGATACGCAACCCAAGAGATGCCAGATACGCCAGAGCGCGTGTTCAAGAGCCGCAGCCCCAGCGTGGAGTCCTCAATTTGAGATGTCGTTTATTGAGTCACTTAACAGACTCGCAAATGAGTTAACACCTGGACAGGTGGGACGACGCCAGCGACTGCCGCAGAAGTCGAGGTGCGACACGAGTTTGCTGCTCACTAGACAGCCTCAGGTTGGGCGCTGGGGCCGGGGGAGGCCTGTCTGCTTTCGAATGCAAAGATATGCAAGGTGCCACACGCAGAAAAATAAATACAGAAATACCTACATAAGGCTACTATCTACTCTAGGGCTTACATTTTTTCGAGGTTCCTTTTCTCAGTGCATTAAAAACTATCTTCTCGCTGTCTCGCCACATCGCGTGGCTGCCAACAAATTGGCAGTTGCAGATAGAGATAATGTTATGACTTCTGGTGCCGCCGCAGCCACCGACATTTCGCATAAAAACACGCTCTTCATCAGGTGTCATATTTCTCGCGCCGCATCTGATAAATAAACTTGGCAATTTATAAGCATTTCTGCGAGTCTGCCAAGCCTAATGCTGACACATAAAGCGGCAAACGCCACTTGCCCGGCTTAAGGAGAAGAAACATTGCCTGTCCCAGGCCTTCCATTCAGACACTTTAATTGCCAATTTCAGCCTCCAAGAAGGCTGGGGAAAAATATTGCCAACATTAATAAATTAATTTCCACGCGTCGCTGCTTAGAGCTGCGACTCAATTAAAATTTGCCAATCAACTCGAGGGAGAGGCTGGCTCATACGCAAGAAATGTTCCAAGAATGAAATAATTACAAAAAAGAAACAACAAGCTAATGCGACGAATAGAGGACAATCTGAATAGGTACTTTAAATGAAAAACTAAGGCACACTCTTTAAAAAGTCATCTAGATCGAGTTCCACCTGCCTATTCCGCCTAGCCTCTGTTTTGCATGCACTACGCCAGATACTGGGATCTGGGAAAATGAAGTGAAATGGCGCACATGGCGGACATTAGGCGAAAATTAATGAAATTTTCCGATGGCACCTTGCCTCCAGTGTAGAC